TAATTGTCAAAGCACGATTCTGGAGTACGCTACACAGGTAGGGTTTCTGATTGGACCGAATCATAATCACCTACAGAAATGAAGTGGTGTGGTCATGTCCCCAGCTTAGGGATCAGCCATAAAACGTCTCACTTAAATACCCTCCACGGTTTTAATTGGCGAGCGCGGGGAACACAACGGAGAACAGATGCCGTGGGGAACAAAAACAGTCCCTCTCAATTGTTTAAACTTGAACTCTGGCGGGCTGATAGGAGTTAGGTTTTTGGGGTCAGCGCCTCCCACGGCACATCAAAGATCCCCGGCATCAGCAGATAGCCGGTCAGCCGAGTGAGCGAAAACAGCTGGGCCTGAGCAAAACAAAGATGATATAAGTGGCTTCCTCCTCAGCGGCGGCTCCAGAGCAGTCAGCGGTGATAAGCCCCAGAATACGTTGTGTTTGAAGCACAGCGCCCACCCCTCCCGCTCTACCCACCACCAAAACTAGATGATTTAAAGCCCCATGTAATGCAAGAGGAAATATAAACCGTGATCTCTTGAACCCTGTCAGAGGATAAGGCCTGGCTTTTGTCTTTACAGCCATTTTGGGATAGTAGTAGGAGTGACTTAAAGTACAGGAACTTTAATCCATGAAAGCATTCAAACATCCCATAATTTCAGCAGAGGTATGATGAAACAACAGAGGATGCATGCTGGTCGTGAGAACAGATGCTTCATTTTAACTGAATCTGTTCTTCCACACATGGTACAGTACATTGAGCTATAGCGACAAACTTTCTGCTAAACACGTATTACTTCCTCTTCTTATTTGCTATCAGTACACTCCAATTCACCGATAGAAAACACAAATGACAGTTTGTGGAATGGCCTCCTTAAATTGAAAGTTGGATTCTGTCTGGCACTTTTGAATGGATGAAACATTTCCTGTTCGATTGAGCAGACTGTGCTCCAAGTACGTGTGTCCCGGGGAAAATGAGGATCAAGGAGAGTTTAAATTACCTCCTGCAGCTTTAGTGAGTGTGATTAACGCCTCACTCTCATACAGCCTAAACAAATCGAACAAATTTAATGAGCTGATGTGGGGGATTATGTGGCATTATGTAAATGATGGAGCTAATATGATTATGCTGTACACATACTGAGGGCTGAAAAGATTAGTTTAGATGCTGAACGGGGAATAAGCTTAAATCTCTTATTATGTAAACTTGTCACCTGTGTCTGGATCTCTATAAACATTGTCTTTTCAAGTAAGCCGCACAGGTCAAATTAGGAAGACTGAAATATACATTTGACAGAAAGTTATCTAAAGTTTTAAGAGAGATGCTGACTGGAGAACTGTATGGAAATGATAGTTCTACAGCTGTGGAACCAGAAAAACTGTAGAAAATAGCCGCTAACAAGTTGAAATGGATTATTTCTGTGTTATTAGAATACATAAGTTGACATTAATGTGTGTTTACACATTATTTATAGGATTTTTATATGTATTTATAGGGTTATTTATATTAATGTTTTAAATACATTAGTCAGAATGAATAGGGGACAATACATCTGTGCTGGGAAATTGACTATACTTTGTCATATGATGTTGTCCCACTAAAAGTTTTTTTCTCACATGGACCACAATGTTATGATTTTGGTTCTCGAAATGTCAAAATGTCAAAGAATAAAGGACACATTTACAGATACTTCCGTTGTGCGGAAAACCAACGGTTTATTTGTGTTTTAATCATAAGCCCGGAGGACAATCATTAGAAACACTTGTGTGACCAGAGCCTGAGAAAGCTCGTGTCCATCAAGTTCAAAGTAACAAAACTGTGACATCACTGTACATAGATTGCATTGTGGGACAGGAGAGGCTATCAAGACCCCCCTCATCCCCTGAGGGGCTTTTGGAGCCACAGCCACGTCTGGTGAGAGCCAGAGTCAAGGGTCACACCTCCATCTGGATCTCTGAATAAAACATCAGCAAGGAAGACAGGCTCCCTGCCTCTGAGCTTGAGGGACTAGGAACACAGGGCAATTAACCCATGCCTGGTTTATTCAGACCTTTCTATGTATCCAGTCGAGGGTATGTCAGCAGATGATAGAGGAGCTGGGCTTGTGTTGACATCAGGTTTACTGGATAGTGTTTGCATAAATGTACAGAGACCGAAGGACTATATTTTGTCCTTGGCAATAATTGCCATCATCGTAACCTGAGTAAACATGTGAAATATGCTCTCAGTCAAAAAATTTTTTTCAAATAATTACATCAACTTGAGCTTTTTTTTACTGAGATCCTTAAAAAAGGTGCTGTTGCTATTTCTCTCCAGTAATTCGAGAATAGCAAAACCACAAAGAAAAAAAAATCCTGGACAAGCCACATTATAACTATCTGTCACAAGACTTTAATTTGTCATTGCTTTTAACCCACTTCCTCTGACAGCAATATGTAGAAAGGCCACTAAAAATGTGACAGAGCCATGGAACACAGGAAATGAGAGGCCCAGATAGTGACACTTGTTTTCCTTAAACACTTCAAAAATAGAAATGGCCATAGATCAGCTAAAAAGCTTTCAGCTTAACAAATCACATCATCTCACTAGAGTAGCTTCCCCTATTCTTGTTTCTTTTTTAAAAGTCTACTTTTCTGCAGGTTTTTTAAAAGAACTCTGATTGTAAACAGCAGTTTTGTTCACCCATGACTAGGAAAAAGAAATGCAACAGGATGCAGGCAGTTTGATTTAGCCTTCATGGAGTGGTTCCATGCACGCTCCAAATAATGTCCAGGATTTATCTTAGCACAGGGCAGTCTGCATGTATCAGGACAATAATGTGTTCGTCATTGTGTTGGCTCCTCTCCAGTACACTGAACTTGAAGTGAAACATATGCTATGAGGCCAAAACCCTGACTCTCAGCTTAGAGCTTTAACAGTGTTCACACTGGAGTATGCTCAGAGGAGAGAGGGAGGAAAATAGCTGAAAGTAGAAAGTAGACAATTCAAACGTTTTGAATGTGAGCGCAAGACAGAAGCCTGAGTTGAAGCAGTTTTGCACATTTACATCCTGGAAAGTAACACCAACATCAAGTGCTGGTAGATTAAAAAGCTTCTTCCGGAGGAGATGAAACCTTTTTCTTTTTGTTGTCGTCCGGTACTGTTTTACTGACAAAGGTGGAGTATGAAATAGGCACAGTGTGTCATGTCAACTATGATGTAAAACAAAAGGGTGCCAAATGTGGGCTTTGCTTTTTCTTTCTTTTTTTCTTAAGTCTCTGTCTCTAACCACGCTGCTTTCATTCCTGCACACATATATTTACACACCATGCATGCACAGCAGCTTACATATTTCTGGTCAAAAGCTGCGCTGGCAGGGAAATTTTTCTGGAGATAAAATGTTTACAGCAGCGGTAACTAGGAATTCATTGCATTCAGCATACAGCACGCCCTCCCCACATGGCTAACACCTCAATCAATCCGTTGCCTCGGGGTAGGAAAAAGTGTAATGACGGTGAGTCTGAAAGAAACAGGTGTTCGTCATGCTCCGAGTTCCTTTGAAGGCGCTGAGAGTTACAGAAACAGTGTGAATCACTGCTAATTGTGTGAAATTATAGTTGTGAGCTGCAAAATGAACTCATCCCAGGGCACCTCAAGGCAAGACAGCTATGCTTTGTGAAGAGCTGTAGATGGTCCAAATTATGGAGTGACAGAGGTATTCCTGGATGCTCGCTGAACAATGACTCCGGTTTGCTGGAAATGCTGCAGGGGGACTTAGAGAAAAATCACTTGATCGTGATCAAGTGGAGGGCCTTTCAAATGCAATTTGTTTATGTCATGAGAAGATCTGGTTTATTTATCAACTTAGCTAAATATATGCAACTTTGAGGCTTTTTGGAATGTGACAGGTTTGATGAGAGAGCCTCTGTTATTGCTTATTAGGAGGACAGTTGGTGTCCTAAAAAAATCATTTACTCAGTTTTTCTTCATCAATGGCACTGGACTGAAGTTTTAATTGCAAAATGCACATGTTCGAGCTGGTCCAACCAGGACAAAAAACGTGTGTGGCAGATATTTACACGAGACTGTGGTCTCTCATCATTCACCTGCTGTATTGGAGTTGACACCCAACACTAAACCAATTTAGAGAGGCCAAATAAAAATCATTTGTATTCTTTGACGGGTAAAAACCAATAACCAGGATGAACAATGCAAAAGCCAGCGGGAAAATGTCTGACTGGTGATTAATCTTGGATTTTCTTTCATATTATTCTAGTGACTTCATATACCTTGTACATTTGTTAAAGATTATTGCCATAATGCTTTTCCCTTTGCATAATGCACACTGAAACCATATTCAGCCAACCTGGGGATTTTTCCGTTGGAGTTTGCGAGCTTCCAAAGACACATGGAATATATTTTCTCACCTTATCTAAATTGTAAATCTTGTACATTACTTTTTGCTTGTAGGCATAACATCTATCTCATATATGAAGAGAGAAACCCATTCTTGGTTGCTCTTCCTTGGGTTTATCTAATTTCTGTGGGGAGGCAAAGGGAGTTAAATACAACACAGGCTGTGCAGCATATTTCTAACGTCTGCTATTTGAACCTATAAATATAACTGGCCAGATATGACCAAAAGGTTAAACAGATATCTTGCGGCTCTATAGGTTCATCAGAGTTTTGCCATTGAGTCATGGTCACCAGCACTGCTAGTCTATAATGGCACACAACCGGGAAAGGTTGGCTCCCACATGACTTTGGCTCAGTCTTTTGAGAACTGAGAGTAAGCAGTTGAGTAATAGTTTCCTGTTGCTGAATCCTAACTTCCCTTTGAAGAGTGGGCATGTTCTATCTATGAGGTATTTATATTTCAGGCTGTATAACCCATCGCAGAGCGACTGTTCGGAGCTTGGAGGGCCTCCTCCTCCTCACTATAAAACAAGGGCATTGTAATAACATTCTTTGACGAAATCTGGCGGGTACTCTTTGGAATACTGACAGTTCATACTTCTCTATATCATGTTGTGTTTTGCTGCTACGCTTGGCGTTAGCCTCCTGTTGGGACTCTACAACCTCTCGGCGGCTAACAAGGACAATTGCGACCTGTACGCTGCCGTTGGGCAGAGTCTGACTCTGCCCGCCGTCTACAAAGGACTGGGGAAGTCACACCTACTGAGATGGACGCACAACAGCACAATCGTTTTCTACATGCAGGGAGGCAAAGTGTCTGTTGGAAAACCGGAGGACGTCTCCTCGGCCGGGTCGCTCATGCTGAAGAACCTGCAGTTGAAAAGTGCTGGGATCTATCAAATAAACGTGCTATATCCAAATGGCACTTTGGCTATGGCATGGACTGGTCGACTCTGCATGATGGACAGAGTTTCTAAACCTCACCTCGATTATGTCTGTAACTTCAATCTTAATGCTGTTAATCTGAATTGCCGGGTGGACAAACCTCAGGGTCTGGTGTTTTCTTGGATGCTCGATAAAAAGGCGTTACCCAGTGAAACTCAGCAAACGCTGAGCATATCTCTCAAGCAGCTGGAAGGGGAAAGGAGCTTCTCATGTGGCGTGGCCAACAAAGTCAGCAAGGAGAGCAGTGACACCGTTCGTCCGATATGCAAAGCTCCAGTTGACCTTTGCTTTACAGGCAAAACTGTGCTGGGAGCTGTCGTAGGAGGAGCAGCTGTGATTTTCCTTTTGCTCCTCACTATCATAGTATTATGCTGCCGCCTGAAACGGAGCAAAAACCAAATGAATCTGAGCCACCCAGAGGAACAAAGGATGCATCGTTTAGCCAAGCACGACAGCACCTGCCCAGAGTACGAAACCATGCACCCCGGACCGGACTCTACGCCTCCCAGCTTCCAGCCCTCACCGACGGTCAGTCCCCAGGACGCCACAGAGCCTGAGGCCCAGGGTCAAGACAAACCTCCACAGCTATCGACAGCAGCTGAGGGACAATCACCTTTACCTGTGCCAAAGCCAAGAATGCCCAGACAGTAGATAGATAGATAGATAGATAGATAGATAGATAGATAGATAGATAG